AGTACATGTCATAATTCAGTTATTACTCTAAAAGCAGTTTCCTTACTCTTCCTTTCCCTTATCCTCTTCAGAGTATACCCACTCATCACTTTTTGACATGGTTAGTTTCCAAAGACTAGGTCGTTATGCAAAAATCAGCACTTCGAGAAAATGGAGGATGACCACATCAGATCACAAAATGGAGGATGACTACATCATTGTGTAACTGCCAAATTACATCGTTGCATAACTGGTAAACCACTGAAAATCATGGCCCAGCCAAGTTAACACATAACCTTAACCATCACACCCAGTGCTATTCTTGCTCAGGGCTTCGAACTGGTTCGGAACAGTTCAGTAGTTGCCAGTGTAAACAAGGATAGCATAAGCATTGCATAGCAACCAAATCTGTTGCCCATCAAATTTTTACATGAGTAGGAAGCAAACAGTGGGGCCGGGCTCAAAGATGGCGGCCTGTTGCGCCGCTTTGAATGTGTATCGCTCTCCACAGTCTTGCCAATAATCCAATCTCCTGGATAGATCCCAAAAGTTTCAGGAGGTTGATACAAGAGACTGGATTATTGGCAGGACTGTGGAGAGCGACACACACTCAAAGCGGCATGGTCGGCCTCCATCTTTGAGTGAGGCACCACTGTTTATTTCCAACTTGGGTCAAAATCGGCAGGCAACAGTTGGTTGCTATGCAACATGTACACTGCCCTCGTTCATGTCAGCAATTACTGAACTGTTCTGAACCAGTTTAAAGCCCTGCTCTCATCTCACACTTTGGTGTTCATTACTGCCAGATGTACACCGTTAATATGCAAAATAGTCGGATAGTAGTTTTTTTTTTTTTTTACTACTGTCACAAATGCGAAATGTCAGATAACAAGATAGTCCATAAGTGAGGAGTAGGTGTGTCATGGATTGAATTGTGTCCCCCAAAATATCTGTCAACTTGCTAGGTCATGATTCCCAGTATTATATGATTGTCTACCATTTTGTAATATGTGATTTCCCTATGTGTTGTATATTCTATCACTATGGTGTAATAAGATGGATTAGTGGCTGTTATATTGATGAGGTCTACAAGATTAGTTAGCATCTTAAGCCAGTCTCTTTTGAGATATAAAAGAGAGAAGCAAGCAGAGAGATGTGGGGACCTAATACCACCAAGAAAGCAGCGCCGGGAGCAGAGCACGTCCTTTGGACCTGAGGTTCCTGTGCTGAGATGCTCCCAGACCAGGGAAGACTGATGCATCACAAGGACCTTCCTCCAGAGCAGACAGAGAGAGAAATCCTTCCCCTGGAGCTGATGCCCTAAATTTGGACTTGTAACTTACTAGACTGTGAGAGAATAAATTTCTCTTTGTTAAAGCCGTCTGCTTGTGGTATTTCTATTGTAGCAGCACCAGGTAACTAAGACAAGGTGTATAAATAAAATTTGCCGAAAATCCCAGATGAGCTCTGCTTTCAACTGGACTGCCTAGTGAATCATGGAAATTTCAAAATAGAAGAAGCATCTTAGTGGTCATATAATCTGATACTTCATTTTAAAATCAGTTACCAGTTGCCATCGAGTCAATTCCGACTCATGGTGACCCCATGTGTCAGGCAGAACTGTGCTCCATAGGGTTTTCAATGGCTGAGTTTTCATAAGTAGATGACCAGGCCTTTCTTTCGATGTGCCTTTGGGTAGACTCAAACCTTTAACCTTTTGGTTATCAGCTGAGTGCATTAATGGTTTGTATCACCCGGGGATGCCTGTTCCATTTTATAGATAAAGAAACTGAGGTCTAGAAAGATTAGGAAATTTGTCCAAGGTCACGAGGCTCATTCCCGTAAGGCTTTGCGTGAGCCCCCGTGTTTCTCACTACCAGTTTCCTGCTGCTGCTTTTGCCACACTCTGCCTCCCTGGGTGACAGAGAGGTTTGCCCAGCTGGGCAGTGGGCAGGGCTAGGAGTTGTGTCCCCATGTTCACTGTTTAACAGTTTCTCTTGTGTCCCGTAGGCTATGCATTCAGTGAAGATGGTGAATATTTTGCCTATGGTCTGAGTGCCAGTGGCTCAGACTGGGTGACAATCAAGTTCATGAAAGTCGATGGTGCCAAAGAGCTTCCTGATGTACTTGAAAGGGTCAAGTTCAGCTGTATGGCCTGGACCCATGATGGAAAGGGAATGTTCTACAACTCATACCCACAACAGGATGGAAAAAGTGATGGTAAGTTAAGACTTCAGAGGAAGCACTTCTTATACAAAATGACATATGACTTCATGTGACTAGAAAGAAAAGCTAAATTCTACATAGAGGTGGTTTGGTCTAGAATCAAGTTTCCTCAAAGGAAGTTGTATCAGTTAGCTTTGCTGAGTAATAGACCCCCTCCAAACTTAGTCACCTAGGATAGTAACTGTTTATTTTTATTTATGAGTCTGTGGGTTGACCAGGCAATTCTTCTAGACTTACCTGGGTTCTGTTGTGCATCTGTGGTCAGTTGTGGGTCAGTTAGTTGATTTTGGCTTGGTTCTCTCTTATGTCTGGGATCTTGGCTGGGACAACTAGGCTGCCTCGGCTCTGATCCACATGGCTTCTCATCCTCCAGCAGGCTAGCCTGGGCTTGTTCACGTGGCAGCTCCACAGGACTCCGAGAGGGAGAGCTGAAAGGCGCAAGCCTCTTTGAGGCCTAAGCTTGCTGCTGGCCTATCACTTCACCACGTTCTCTTAGTCATAGCAAGTTACAGGGCCAGGCCCAATTCAAATGGTGGGGAAATGGATAAAGGGAACTGTGAAAAATTAGGACCATTACTATAATCAGTCCTCTATAGATGTGTTATGTTTCCCAAAGAGATCAGAGGGAAGGTAGGTGTGTTTTTTTTTTTTTTTTACAAAACCAACCTATTTGATGATGGTCGAGGAATTATAAAACTTTCCTACTGCAGTAGTCACATCTTTTCCTCTGATCAGAAGTTACAAGTCACCTGTTGGTTGGAGTTATCTTGTCACTTTTTCCCCTGGACACACCTTTGTTCTCTTCAGTTGGACGGAGATCCTATTGTCTGGTCCCCTCTCTTTTTTTCTCTTTCACTCTTCAACTCCTAGACAAGAAGGATTATTTGTTCCCTTACTAGACAAGCTGTCATCAGCATCTTCCTAATGCCTCCCCATGTCTTTATTGGGTGTATAGCATTTTCATGCTTTCGTGTTGAGTCTTTATAGGGGGTTTTACTATCCCTGTGTTACAGATCAGGAAGTGGGTGCAGAAAGTCTTAGTAAATTGCTGGAGAGCCTGGGGCTGGCAAGATGCAGTGTCCTTCAGTGTTCTACTACTCATTCTGTCCCCTTATCATGATTTGCTGTATCTTTGTCATCATTAGGTATTCTTCCTTTTCTATTTTTCTTCCCTGGGATGAATTGAGAATAAGGTTATAATACTTTTGGTCTCTTTTGGCCATGTTTAGCTTTTGCTGTTTTTTATTAGACTTTTTCTTAATACATTTTTCTTAAGTCCTCCACGAGTTACAGAGGAGCTAATGGTAGGATTAGGAGGGATGCATTTTTACTCAAGGATGTAGCTAAAGAAACAGCTGTGCTCTGTACGCTGAAATAGCTGCCTGTGTTAAACATGCCCCAGAGTTAGAAAATGTTGCTATTTCCCAGTTTCTGGAGACTAAAAGTATATAGCTGGCGGTTCTTGTTAGAGAATAATGTTATAACGTGTGAAAAGTATAAAGTTATTATTTATCCTCAGCCTTCAGAAGTAGTAATAATAATGATGAAGGAACCCTGGTGGTGCAATGGTTAAGTGTTCTGCTGCTAACTGAAAGGTCATTGGTTTGAACCCACCAGCGGCTCCATGGGAAAAAAGACCTGATGATCTGCTTCCTTAAATCTTACAGCCTGGGAAACCCTGGGGGGCAGTTCTACTCTGTCATATAAGGTCGCTGTAAGTATTAATCGACTGGATGGCACACAACAACAATAGTAATAACTAATAATTGTGATTGACTTAAGAAAGCCAGTATCTTCTCCCAGCTCGAATTATGCTACCCTCTTGTCAAGAGGACCTCGGGGACCTCTCAGGTTGTGTGATGAAGAGCCTTATGAACGAAGCTAAACAATTTTGATAGTGTTGTTCTTACCAATGTTTCTGGAAAACCTGGTGAAAATCACCAAGTGCTGTAAAACTTGTTACATTATGGTATTATCTCATTTTTTTTCCTTCGTTGTCCTGAAAGTTCGGTACATTTTATAGGGGAAAAAAAGTTAATGAAAAAATGTAATTGGATAACCTCCAAAATCAGCATATATGTATGAATAACTTCTAGGATGATACTCAACTAATACCTGAATTTTTCAGTGTTTTTAGTATTGTTCATTATGAGTGGAATAGATTTTCTTAAGATTTCCAGCTGTATTTGACTATGCTTTTTTAACTCGTTCAGGCACGGAGACATCCACCAATCTCCACCAAAAGCTCTACTACCATGTCTTGGGGACCGATCAGTCAGAGGATATTTTGTGTGCAGAGTTCCCTGATGAGCCTAAATGGATGGGTGGAGCTGAGGTATTGTACACCTGTGAAATTTTACCCACAGAGACTGTTCATGAATATTATTATGTTACATGGTAACCTTTATGGATGGTAGAAGTCCTTTAAGAGAACATCTTTTGGTAAAAATACCAGTATTCAAATTGATGCTTAACAGTGAAGGTGGTAAACCTTTAAAGTGTAACATCAACATAAAATTCTTTAATACTAAAAGTAATACTTGCTTATGGTAAAATATGTAAAGAAATATGTGGACATTGCAAAACCCTGAGTCACCTCTCACAGGTAAGTGCTGAGTATCATTCCAGAAATTTTCTTTGTGTACACAGGTGAGAATGTGGAGAGAGAGGGTGTGTACATATGTCTTTTCTTTTTTTACGCACATATGCTCTTTTTATGTATATTGTTCACTTGTTCTTATATTAAAATACGTATCTTTTAGATATTTTTCTACCTTTTAAATAGTTCAGACAGTCCTTAGGGAGTTTGACAATAAGCTGGTGCAACAGTTCAATGCTCGACTTCTAACTGAGAGGTTGACGAATCACCCAGCAGCTCCAAGGGACAAAGACCTCGCAATCTGCTCCTGCAAAGATTACAGCCTAGAAAACCCTATGGGGCAAATCCTACTTTGTCACATGAGCTCACTATGAGTTGGAATTGACTTGATGGCACCTAACAACAACGATCATTGAAGTCATGCTTCTTTGAACTTACTGGCTCATTTTTTTTCCTCTTTACCTTTTTTTTTCTATGGGGTGGCGGGGAGGGCAGTGATGTTGATGCAGAAAGCCTGAGATAGTACATTTTAACAAATTTTATACTCTTTGAATTCTTCATAAAAACAGAACGTTCTCTTGAAGGAATCTTTATGCTTCAAAGCTAATAGTTTCATTGCAGAAGACCTATTTTATTCAAGGTAAAATTTAGTTGATAGAATAACATGAATACTGGAAATAAATGCCAGAATCTTAATATATATTTAGCATATAGGTCTATAAAAAATAAAGACACTTTACAGTGGAATATATGGCAAGTCTAGTTGTTTGGATCTATTTATTAGCATTTGATTGAAGCACCTGTTTTTTAAAATACAGTAGAGACTTGTCATACATTTAACTTATACATATTCAATTCTTCTAGGTAGACTACTGAAAAGAAAAATAGATTTAAACAGTTCAGTGATTCTTTCTAGCATTTATTCAGTAGATATATACTTTTTACTTAACGCGTCTCATAAAATCCTTAACATAAGCTTAAGAAGGTATGCATCCCATTGCATACCAAAACCAAATCTGTTGCTGTCAGTCGATTCCGACTCATAGCAACCCTATAGGATAGAGTAGAACTGCCCCATAGGGTTTCCAAGGAGCAGCTGGTGGAGTCAAACTGCTGACCTTTTGGTTAGCAGCCAAGCTCTTAGCCACTGGGCCACCAGGGCTCCATAGATGACATTAAATGGTATCGTAAGGAACTTGCCCATAGGCAGGTAGCAAGTGAGTGGTTGGAACTGCTTGCTGGTTATCTTAGGCCCCACGGCCTGTATGTTCTCAACTACCATGCTACCTTGCCTCCCTACCAAAACCAAACCTGTTTCCATCAAGTGGATTCCAACTCATAGTGACCCTATGGGACGGGGCAGAACTACCCCATAGAGTTTCCAAGGAGAGCCTGGTGGATTCGAACTGCTGACCTTTTGGTTAGCACCTGTAGCACTTAACCACTACGCCGCCAGGGTTTCCCAAAAGGAAAGCGATCTTGCAAAAACAGCAGTGATAATTGTAAATGAAAGGATTCATCTATACTGCACACAAGTTAAAATGAAGTTAAAAAGAAAAAAAAAAGAGTAAAAGGATACATAAAGTGAATCATAAGGAACTTTATATGGTATCAGAGCCCTAATTAGTGAATTACACAGAGGAAGTTTATAGGGAAACCAGTGGGCCTAATCAACCCAACCTGGGCAGAGATTTCCCTTAAGTTGCATTCCAGCTGCTTGGTGCTCTTGTTATGACAGTTATCACCCAGTCAGTAGCCCAGGTTGATTGGGCAGGTCTGGCTGACTAGGTGAGTGTCTGCTTCCTTCCTCACGCTGCTATGCGTGATCTTTCTAAACATCTCTGTTTCTCTGAAGAGGACCATCTTGCTACATAGAAGAGCACGCATTGTCACTTAAATGTGAGTTCTATAGTCTGTAGGTGTGAAGCCTTCAGAAGCCTCAGGCCCGTCTTGAATTGGTATAGTTTCAGGTCTTCCACTCAGAAAAATCCAGGTCATAAAAAAAGATCTTGAAGTGGGAGTGTCTTGTGCCCTTCAAGGGAATGTCATAAAGCCAGGAGAGTCCAAGCAGTCGGCTTGATCAGAAACATGCGGGACTCATGTATAGCTCAGCCCTCAGGGCTTTCACTGGAAATTAAGCAAACGTTTTACTAACAGCGCTTATTTAGCAACATGCCCTTAGAGAAAAGCAGTGGTCCTCTTCATAACCACACACCAACTCCATGTGCTACAATTGTTTCATTTTTTGAAGTCCTTGCTTTGTTGATCATCATTTCAAACCTAGTATTCCATTTAAAAAGGACCCTGGTGGTTCAGTGACTGAGCACTCAGCTGCTAACTGAAAGGTCGGCAGTTTGAACCCACCAGCTGCTCCATGGGAGAAAGATGTGGCAGTCTGCGTCCATAAGGATTACAGCCTTGGAGACCCTGTGGGGCAACTCTACTCTGTCCTGTAAGGTTACTATGAGTCAGAATTGACTCGATGGCAACAGGTTTTATTTCATTAATGCATTTAACAGTGTGTATGATGGCACAGTGGTTAAGAGCTTGGCTGCTAACCAAAAAACGTCGGTGGTTCGAATCCACCAGCTGTTCTTTGGAAACCCTGTGGGGCACTTCTACTTGTCCTATAGGGTTGCTATGAGTTGGAATCGAGTCGACAGCAGAGGGTTTGGTTTTTGTTTTCTTGTGAATAGAGAAAGGAGCCTTGGTGACACCAGTGTGTTATATTGATGGGGGTGCACTATAACAGAAATCAGGAGATTTTTATTCCTGTCCCATCTGTGTAGCCTTGGGCAAGTCACTTCATTCATCGCTCCAAGTTTTTGTTTTCTTCATTTCCTCCAGGGCCTTTTCAGATCGGAAAGTATATGGATGGAGGATTTATCACAGCATCTCATAGGCTCCTGAAGTTGGCTTCCTGGGTGAGATCTTAGCTGGTGGATATGAGAAAAGTGGAGTGTGGAGTGTAGGTCTTTGTGGATGTATTGGAGGAGTGTGGTTGGGTTGGGTGGCTCTGTGTGTGTGCGTGTATGTATGTGTATTTCTCTAGCTTGCTGCCATCTTCCACCCCTTGGACTGTCACAAATCCAGGTTCACCGAGAACTTCCTTTTTATCCTAGATGCTCTCTCCTCGTGACTTATCTCCTTTCTTCACAGATACTTCCTCTACCTTCCTGCATGGGCAGGTCTTTCTTGCCTGGTGTATTGAACAGGCAGAACTCAGTAAGTTGCAGTCAGGAAGCAGCTTTAGTTTTCTCACTCCAGTTGTGTTTACTTCGGGCAGCACCTCTCCCCAAGATGACTCCCTTCTACTCAACAAAACCCATGGCTTTCTGTGCACTTTGTAATCTTAGAACTTTTACTCGAGTTCCATTGCAGTCCAAAGCAAATATCAATCTCTGTGATTTAAACTTTCTTCCCTCTCCAGCTCAAGCTTGGACAGCACATGGCAGAGCAGCAGGTGGCTAGGGGCTCCATCCAGTCCCTCCCCTTGGGTGCTCATCGCTGGCCATGCAAGGAGGAGAGGAGTTAGAGAAGGGAAAAGAATTTTGTCCACCCAGGGCTGTTTGTCATTCTGTCTTAGCCGCTCGTGGTCTTGGCATGTGTCCAGATGTGAGCGCCCTTGTGACATCCTTTTGTAGGATGTTGGGAGAGTCTGCCACTACCTCCTCCTCCACTCCACGTTGCTGGGAACCGTTGCACTCTGTTGTTCCCCAGTGGGAGTTATGAGCTCTGACTGACGTTTTGCACCCCACCAAAGCTTCCGCTCCCAGCAGTATTCCCTTGAGATTCATACCTCTCCCCAATATTCGTACCTCTCCCCAGCACCACCAGCCCCATCCCTGTTGGGCAGGGACCTTTTAAGATGGCTTGAGGCCAGCTACCTTCCTGGTGCTGCTTGACCCAAGGGAAGCCACATCCTTGGGTTGCTCTATCTCAGAAGTACAGGCTCCCCACTGCCCTCCTCACCTGTCATCTAAGGGGCCTCAAGCCAGCCTCCTGCCCTCAGAGCCCTCCCAGTATACCTCCAGACTGCTGGGATCACAGGAACAGTGGGCTCCGTCTTGCTCCTGCTATGTAACATGAAACAGCTGGCATTTGGCTTGAATGGACAGAGGTATCAATTATCATTTAATATAGACTGTGCAGCTGTAAGTGAAGAGCAGGCTTGTGAGAGTACAGAAGTTGTCGTGTTTTAGAAGGTTCTATTGCTCTGATGGACCAAAAAAACAAAAAACAAAAAAATGAAAAACAGAACTCTTTATTTTAAAGTGAATTGCAGAACATTTGGAAGAAAAACACACACACAAATAAATCAAGCACTTTGAGGCACTTTTCCCAACAGAGGGTGCTCTAGAGTGAAGATTCTGAGACTTCTCAAGACCGTTTAGAAAGGGTTAAAGAGAAAATGCCCAACCACTTTGGGATTTTTTAGCCCAGCCCTATACTGAGCACCTGATTCTACTATATCTAATTCTTGAAATTCTTGAAAAAATTTACAAAGGTAATCCTAAATCTTAATAGTTGTCACATATCCTCATAAGCCATTTTTATGTGTTCATCTGTGATCCCTATTAATTAAAAAATATATATTTATATACGTATTTAAGGAGGCCTGGTCGCACAGTGTTTAAGAACTCAGCTGCTAACCGAAAGGTCGGGAGTTCGAATCCACCAGCCATCCCTTGGAAACCCTTTGGGGCAGTTCTGCTCTGTCCTATAGGGTCCTATAG